TAGAGAGACAGAACTCTCTACAAAGTCTAAAAGGAAGACCCTGAATAGGGTCCAACAAAGGATTTAAAGCTCAGGCATGTTGAATATCTTCGGAGCAAATAATTTTTGTTTAGATGATGGTAAATATTTTCTCCAAACCTTACCTACCTACACTTGATCTTTTTAACAGACAGCCAAGTACCCTGCCTTTGATTTAGGTTTCATTTCTAGCATTTTAGTTTAGATGTTCATATGCCTTTATGAATGTTTGTTATGATTTAAGCAGTACCTGCAAATTCTGAGAGAAATTCAGACACTATATTTTACCTTTGTCTAGCTGATATATAGCTGACCTATATAGCTGTCTAGCTGACCTATACATATCTACTAAGCGAACGAATATAACATCATGAAAGATTCCAGGACACAGTTTGTGCTGTACTTTGTAACCCAGCTGCTTATCAATTTTCAAGTAAGAAAATGCAAATGCAAGACTTGCATTCTTCAGAGTAGCACTGTGCGAGTAAGGTTTAGTGACATAGTTCACAAAACAGCAAACTGCTTTCCATTCAAGAAGGGCAGTATTCACATGAAGTATCTACATCTCAGCTGCTCTTTTACCCTCATTGCTTCCTTTTCAAGAATTAGAAATTTTTTTTTTTTCCCATTCAAAATTAACAGGTATCTCAAATAAAGTGCCAAAATGTACCACCCACCCCCCTACCCCTGTTTCCTAGGTACTGGGTTAAAATTAAACTATAAGCCTTGCAGTAATCCAGGAGAGGACACACATTTTGCAGCGTTAGAAAAGACAGCAGTAAATCCTTATTTTCTGGGTATTTCACATTAACCATGCAGGATGGGAGCACAGCTTACATAGGCTTAGTTACGCATTTCTCTGAGAAAGTAGAAATAGCTTCAGCCCGAGTATCCCGCTGCAGCTACATGAATTAACTATAAAGCTGCTGGAGTGGCATTATAGCATTTAAAATTGACATTTAAAACACTACCAGCAACAGGTTGTAAAACTAGTTGGAAACACTTAAAAAATATTTCCCAAGTGCCATAATCTTTATACCATCTCTCAGTCTCCCAGATAACAGAGACATTTTGAAATGCAGAATGCGTTAGAAAGTGATGGAGAGCTACCACATATCAGTTTTACTTATTAACACTTCCTGAAAGTAAGGATACGTGACAAAGCTTAGAAATAGGTATTTGTAATATACTTTTTCCCTGCTGTAACAGCTTTCCACAAACACTGCATCTGACAATGCAGATGTCTATTCCATGAGCTCTGGTTTTAGTGAGTAACTGAAAATGATACCTCGAGGTGGATCAGTTACCACGCATACAAAAATACTCCTGTACACGTACTGAAGACAGGCCACAAACTAGAACAAGACATTAACAGCACTTTTAATGTATCAATTTATTGCATATGTCAGTACATAAAAATAGAAAAGTGTTTTTTGTAAAATTAATTTTATTGTAAAAACCAGACTAGAATGAGAATGTAAAACTTTGCCACGATTAGCACATATACAGTAACATTTACGCTTTGTCTACAAAACTTAGGAATACTTTTTAAGACATTTCTGCTTTAACTATATATTAAAGAAAAATAAAATAAAAAGCTTGCATCATCACTGTTTCTGAATTCGAAACACAAGTGTTATTTAGAACTTCAATATGCTACCTCTATTTACACTTCTGTGGGGTTCTACTCTAAATTATACAAGCAGGATGGCATTGTAAATTATTCTTAATGGGATACATCAGGCTGATCCCACTACATGCAAGAGGCACTGATTTTATATTTGGCAGAAGTGCCCCTAGCAAAATCATCTGTCTTTAAGAAAAATAAAAGTGTACTTCTCAAGAATTTAATTATGAAATACAAATGGAGGTATGTCTGCATCTTTTTGCTAATAGAAGAGACCATACCTTGGACTCTCAATTCAGCCTTGCATTCTTCACTGTGAACACCCCACGTGACATCAATGATTAGCTTAGAGATGCTGATATGCATATTTTGTATAAATAGTTAATCCACCTGCCCTTCAACTGAGAGATTGTCTGTAGCCTACCAAATGTATTTGTGCTCTATTTCTAATTTTACCTGAGAAATGGACATGAGGGCAGCTACACCAGTTAACATTTCTTCAGATGAAAGCATAGCTTATCTCTCTGCATTTCACAGTTCAGAAACAAATACTGGGAATGTAAACTTGGGTTAGCAGGAAGCCTCAAGTATTTCCACTAATTAAAAGCACACACACAACACACGTGTGCGCACAAGGTCTTATACAGGATGCTTCCTTACAAGGACTCTACTGCTACAGCTGTTCCAGTTCCACTCCTGGCCCCCCCAATTCTCCCCCCCCCCTTTTTTTAAAAAAAACTTAAAAGTTTCTCTTATAAAAGAGACAATTCCTTTAATGAGCGTGTTTAAATCAAGAGGCTTTCTTACAAACCTGTGAAAATAACTCAACTTCCTCTTCCCAAATTAAAAATTTATACATACAGGACAAATACCTGGAAAACATCTATACACAGACAACTGTTAAGGGAAAACATATAATAGTATTAAGTGGAATAAATGCAACAGTATCACAATATACCTTTTGGCAATTTAAAGTTATTACTACTAGGTTGCTTGCAATTCACTGCCTGAAAATGTCTCTCAGCATCAGATAACTGTGGGTTTCCATCACACAGACCATAAAATAAAGACAAGTCCTGACTTGTCAAAACAAGTTTCTTCCCCCTTTTCCCTCTCAAAAGATAGTATGTACTGCAGTGGAGTATTTGCATTAAAAAAAATAATTTCCTTCCTATTTTCTTTCAGAAGATTTCAGAGTCAATGCAATGAACAATAGCATGGTAACAGACATTCATTCACAAGTATACACGCCCAACTCATTAACTGAGAAGTAAAACTGTGCATATGTGGAAGGTGGAAGAAACCACATGGAGCGTAAAGGATGCATACAAGACAACTATCTTCTCATACCCTATATTTGCAAAATCAGGCTAAGTTTCACCCTTACGTCCTGCAGACAACATAGAGAAATGATACAGCTTGATAATCAACAGTAATGTTTACAGTTCACTCTGAACAGCTCCAAATTGCCATAATCTAACACCACATGTTTGACCTTGACTAAGCAACTGTGTGCCCAAACAAGACTACCTCATTTGTATGCCAGTGCCACACAACACTGGGGGTATTTTGGTTGAAGTTTTTGTTTGTCTTTGAGTGGCAAGCAGTGGGGTAAAAAGTCATGTTACTTTAGAAACCAACACTTTATGAGAAAACAATGGCATTTAATGGCAAATTATGGCAACTTCCAAAACAATTATTTACTTTCTCTTCATTCTGTCTCCAACAAGTAATCTATTCTTTTGGCTTTATCAACTTGTTTTTAGAAAAGGAGTACTTGCCCACTTATTTTCTTTCTCTCCACCTTAATTCTAAAGCAATGTGAAGTACCTGAAACAATTTATGCAAATAGCTCACATCATATTAGAATACATAAGGGAAAGGGAATGCTATGTCTATTAACTCACTTCTGCTACATAAAAGTCCCTCCCCTCCAGGCCAAACTTCACCAATATACCTTCGCCACCCACCTCCCCCCCCAAAAAATGACAACTGGAAGGCTGAAGAGGTAAGCTTTGGTTTCACTCAAGATTTAAAACTATGCTCTGGTCTATGATTTTAGGTCTATAGAGCCAAAAAGGTCTACAGCTTTTTTCTATCAACTCTAAGGAAACCTTAATAATAGTATGCCAAAAGATACTTAGAGAAAGCATCAACTTCTGGTATGTATATGTTTATTAAAAAAAAAAAAAAAAAGAAAAAAAAAGAAAATCACATTTCAGTAAAGATGTATCACCCTATCTATAAATTGCTGACAACTATTATCCATATGTACATAAGACCTGTAACTTCATGTAATAAATTTTAGGAGGCATAACCATTAAGGCACCAGTTCAGGAAAGCAGTTTTATTCAACCAGAGAACTTAAGCACAAGCTTAAAATACCACTGTCCATCAGGAAACAGATTTTAAGTGTGTGCTGCAATGCTTTTCTGAATCGGGACAACACGGCAGAAAAGTTTATTTAAGAATTCCAATCCAAAGGGCAATTGTACAGATTGTGTGGAAGATATTCCACAGTTCATTCTTCCCATAAGAAATATTTTGAAGAAGCGAACTATCAACTGCAGCAAATGAGAAATTAAACCTGCAGCGCTCCAGTAAGGACTGAGATAACAGCATACAACTTTGATATAACTACCTAGGATAAAACCCCCTAAAAAGAGTAAAAAAAACCCAACCAACCAAAACCCAACATTCAGTCAGAATCAAACTCTCTCAGCTTAAGTATTGATGGCTATGAAATGGTGAGATCCCAGATTCAAAAATCCCAGCGGAGCTAAAGAAAACTCACTTTTGCTGATGCTTAGGCTACTTCCATGTTGTAGAACAGAACCTGAAGACTTTCTGCAAGCAAATGGGTAAGTGTTAAAATAAGTTTTGTCTCTTTCAGACTAACTAAGCTTAGGTCTACCAAATTTAATGCACTGCTTATTTCTATTATCCTTACTGTAACAACTGTATACATTTATCTCTAATCATGTGATCATTGGTAATATTTGGATTTGGGTTTTTTGGAGGTATAACTAAAGGGCACAGACATATAGCTTATACCAGCTTAAAAATCAAACACAAATACATACTTTTACATTGTGTGACAGTCCCTTCTATCACACCATCCACTCTGCCTTGGGAAATCCCACCTCAAATGCACAAGCAAACTAATACCAGCAAATAGTCTGCCTGTACAGAGCTTGGGTTGGAAAGGAGCTTTTTGAAGGTTACTTCTATTTTCTATGAAGAAACTGCCTGGGCAAAATCCTGAAGCCATGATGTTTAGGCACACACAACTTTACGGGCACTATTATAATACAAATAGTAAAATGAAAACAGGGGAAGTGTCTTTTCCTCTTGAGTTGCAGTTTGAAATAGATGAATGCATAACCATAAAAAACAGTAATAACCCAGGATAGTATACCTGCAAGTATACTCTACCATTAATGTTATTTTATATTATTTAGCACATTAAAGACTTCCCACCTTGCATAATATAAAATTTCAAGGAATAAAACACTAATCTCATGCATGGCACACTTTAAATAAACCCTAAGAGAAACAACAAATCATTGTGCTAACCATGACTGTCCAAAAAGCTCACACATACAGCAGTGAATACTGAAGAGCCTCCCGTTTTTCTAAACTAATACATTCTGTACTACTTTTGTAGCAAGTTCCTTTAATAGCATCCGTTGTACATATCAAACAAATGCATATATGGACAGAGATACCAAAAAAGTACGAGAAAGACATAAAATGGTTCATTTACAATGCTGCAAATGTAAAAGTTATCTGGAACATCTTAATAAAGCATCAGACCTCTCCAAGTTTAATTTCACTCTTTAGGCAAGTACAGACATGACATACATTTAAAAAAATGGACATTCTTTTACCACTTTTCACAAATCAAGGTACAGTGCAGGTACTCCCCCCACCCCAAAGAAGAACATCAATTATATTATTGTTACGTTAGATGATGTTTTCGCCATTTCTTCAGGGGAGTGACTCTTTATTACTTCTTTGATGAACTGTTCAAGTGCAGTGAAATAACCCTGGCACTGCCAAGTGTCATTATGAGTTCCATCAGGAAATATCGCCAATCTCTTAGTCCGAGCTGGGGATAATTCATAAAGTTGCTTCATCATAACTGGTGGAATTAACTGGTCAGACAACCCAGAGATGAAGAGAGAAGGCATTCTGCACTGAGAGATTTTTCTGTAGGATAGAAATTTATTTTTGTAGCACCATAAAGGAAGGTATCTCATTGGAAAGAAAGAAAACAAAGTGCTGGCCATGTATGGGATGCTAAGAAAAGTGTTCTCCACCACGATGGCAGAAATCCTATGGGAATTTTCAGAAGCTAAGTGAATAGCTACTGCTCCCCCCAAGGAACGGCCAAAAAGAAAAATTTTTGTTTTATCAAGATCAGACCGAGTCATCACATAGTCTAACACAGCCTCAGAATCTAAGTACAAACCTTCTTCACTCGCTTCTCCTTCACTTTTTCCATAACCTCTATAATCAACAAGAATTAAGTTTACTTTCAGGTTTACCAGCATTAACAAAGCATTTGGCAACCTGTGGCCAATGTTGCCTGCATTCCCATGGAAGTAAATGATGGTTGGAGAATATGCTGCATTGTCCCCTGTGTATCTCAGCAGAATAAGATTGAGGAGAACTCCATCTTTGGTTTTGATGAAGATATTTTCATGTGGTATACCAGTAGGCATAGGAACATAAAGGCGTGATGAAGAGGGCTGTTCAGGAAAGTAAAGCAGCACATCCTGGAATTTATATAATATGCCTGCTATTGATACAAATATTAATATAAGTAGTATAATGCCGCCGTACAAGTGAAAAGTTACTATCAAGGGTAAAAGACAAATACGGCAGAGACTCCAAGACCAGGAAGCCAAAGCTAGTAGCCATCTTTTAAAAAAGGTCCAAAGCATCCATGACTTTTCCATTGTAGAAGTCAGTGATCTTTTACTCCAAGTAAATCCTGCAAAAAAAACCCAAACATATATGGATAAATATGGGGGGGGGGAGAGAAAAGTAGTGATTTAAGCATTCATACTTGCAGAAGATTAATAGCAAGTCAATACATTAAAGCATAAATATCAAACTTAGTGGCAAACTTCCTTTGAATTTCTGGAAACGATTCAACTCCGTAAAACGAGCAGAAAAGCAATCATAAGGAAAAGGCTTCAGAACTCTTCAAAATCCCATTTACCTTATTTTAGCAGGCAAGGTCCATCAGTAGCACTACAAAATTGGTTGCCTGGGACCATAATGACTTATGTCACAAGTGGTGTCCCCCAGGGCTTGGTGCTGGGGCCAGTTCTCTTTAATATCTTTATTAATGATCTGGACAAGGGGATTGAATGCACCCTCAGTAAGTTCGCAGATGACACTAAGCTAGGCAGGTCTGGGTCCTGCACTTGGGTCACAACAACCCCAGGCAGCACTACAGGATTGGGGCAGAGTGGTTCGAAAGCTGCCCGGCGGAAAAGGACCCGGGGGGGTTGGTGGACGGCCAGCTGAATATGAGTCAGCAGTGTGCCCAGGTGGACAAGAAGGACAACGGCATCCTGGCCTGTATCAGGAATAGTGGGGCCAGCAGGACTAGGGAAGCGATCATCCCACTGTGCTCAGCACTGGTGAGGTCCCACCTCGAGTACTGTGTTCAGTTTTGGGCCCGTCACTACAAGAAGGACATTGAGGTGCTGGAGCGTGTCCAGAGAAGGGCTACAAAGCTGGTGAGGGGTCTGGAGGACAAGCCTCATGAGGAGTGGCTGAGGGAACTGGGGTTGCTTAGCCTGGAGAAGAGGAGGCTGAGGGGAGACCTTATCACTCTCTACAACTACCTGAAAGGAGGTTGTAGAGAGGTGGGAGCTGACCTCTCCTCCCTGGTGAAAAGTGATAGGACGAGAGGAAATGGGTTGAAGTTATATCAGACAAGGTTTAGATTAGACATTAGGAAAAGTTTTTTCACTGAAAGAGTTATTAAACATTGGAATAGGCTGCCCAGGGAGGTGGTGGATTCGCCATCCCTGGAGGTGTTTAAAAAAAAAAAAAAAAAGGGGTAGATGTGGTACTTTGGGACATGGTTTAGAAGTGGTTTTGTCAGGGTAGGTTAATGGTTGGAGTTGATGATCTTAAAGGTCCCTTCCAACCTCAGCAATTCTATGATTCTGTGTTTTCCCCTCAGTCTTCCCTAATGACCAAGAGAATAACCATACAGACCATATCACCAGTTTGTCAAAGCTCTGCATTTAAGTAATTCTAGAGCCCAGAGAACAGAAATAAGGGATATTTTTGTTTTTAAGTTGCTAGTGATTAAGGCCAAGAGGAGCATTCAGTAAGCCTATGCACTTCACTCTGCATCCAGTGGAGGGTCACGACGCACACAAGTTCTGCAATCATTTAGTAGCTGCGGTTCAGAATCTTGATCAGTCTTTTTTCAGTGGCACCCAGTGATAGGACGAGGGGTAATGGGCATAAACTTGAACATAGGAAGTTCCATCTTAACGTGAGAAGGAACTTCTTTACTTTGAGGGTAGTGGAGCACTGGAACAGGCTGCCCAGAGAGGTGGGGGAGTCTCCCACTCTGGAGACATTCAAAACCCGCCTGGACGCTGTCCTGTGTAACGTGCTGTAGGTGACCCTGCTCTGGCAGGAGGGTTGGACTAGATGATCTCCAGAGGTCCCTTCCAACCCTAACAATTCTGTGAATTCTGTGATCAACTGTGATTACAGAGCAACATGCAAACTGGTCAGAAAAGAGAGACCCCTCTACAGTAAATGCAACTACAATGTGGTATCTTATGACAGCTGTTTTGCTATATTTAGATTGGTTCTGATTTATAATGATGTTTTTTCACTGTCAGATCAGTAATCCATATTAAATCAATTTTGATGATACAATCTTTCATTCAGCTAACAAGACCACTGAAAACAGTCAGCTAACGACATTATTCTCTGATCAATGAAAAGCACAACTGCTGAAAAGTCCAAATATGAAAACAGACTCATCACAAAAAACATACACACAGCATAAAATGGGGTAAGTGACGTTAATGATACTGGATTAAATCTTCTTTCCAACCATAAGAGATAGTTACGCTCACAGCATACACAGAATCTCCCACGTTATTCACTGCTGGGTTCAAATGTAAAATGGAAATAGGCAAGAACTGCCAAACCCACAAAAGAATTACAGTAACCATTCAGTGGCCGCTGAGTTGACTAGTCATACTGCCTGGAAGTGACAACACAAGCTCACTTGTTTAAGAGCACTCTAAGTTATATAGTAGATAATAATTAGTTTAAACTCACTCAAAGGGATAACCTCTGAAAATGATGTAGTGCAGCAAGAAGCTAAATTAACTCCAAAGGAGTCTGACAGACAGAGATACATTCAAACATTCAATTAAGTCACAGGACCCACACCAAAATAAGCTGTATGGCCTAATACTACTGAAGAGGGCTGCAGCTGCACCAGCCATCTTGGTAGGATCAAGTGACAAAAGTAACTTCTGCAGTCACAGCCTTTGCGCTCCACAAACATGATAAGCACCCAATGACCAGGAAAAGCTGTTATCTCTAATTATTTTATGCATCAATTAGACATAAATCAGAAATAACAATAAATCTGTTACACCTTAAGAGTCACATATTAACCAAAGGTAACATGAAATTAAGCTTTTATATAGTATATCTACACCAAATATGTAAAACTGGTGAAATACAGTCTAGAGAGCAGTTATCCCAACTTTGTTCTCTTATATTATTTATGACCTCACATTCAATATACACACCCAAGTATGCACAAATATCTTCTATATGAAAATTTAATTCTTGTGATCCATTTCTCTAGTAATGAACTCACAGTAATTATGAAACACAGATACTTTAATTTGTAAGAAAACTTCCTAATGAAGTTGACAAACATTTCCCTCATTACATTTCAAGACTATAAGAACATTGATAATGACACAGTAAAAACACTCTCCCTATCTACACTATTCAAAATTTTGCTGACTTTCTTACAAAATGAAAGAGACTGCAAAAAATCCTAAGTTAACATAGTAATTTTCACTGAGTGATAAGGCGTTCCTGAACACTTTTTGAAGTGTATGAGATTCAGGACTGTTTAACACACTGCAAGACTACACACACACACAAATTTCTTCTTGGTCTTCCTTTCCCATTACTGTTGTACTGGATGGGAAGTTATAAGCCTTTCAAACAGCTTACATCTAACATCTTATGACACAAAAACTCTATGCTGAATTATGATGAGCACGTGTTGTGATTCTCCTGTATCTCTAATTTTTGTGCTTAATAGGATGCCAAAATAATCAGAGTAGAAGGGGATAGAGAAGGAAAGGGAGAACAATATATTTAGACTTGGATGTCTGAGCTGGTCAACCTGAGAAACAGAGTGGACCCATCACCTGGACAAGCCTGTATCTCTTTATAGACAAGACTACTTCTGTTCCTAGACTACAAGAACTGCTTACAGACTTGCTCCGTAACTGCCTGAAGTCCCAGTTAAGGCAAGAAGAATGCATCCCTTTGTGTCTTCTGAAGAACTTTTTAATCAGTTTTTGTCATCTGCAGATATGACTAGTTGTTGGGTTTTTTTTAATGGCTGACTGTTTAACAGGATATCTGTTATATCGCCTTCTACAATTAGAAGTATCACAGCTCTACAGAGAGATGGCATGAAGTATCATCCCTGTATTACACATGAAGACTCTGGAACCAAGGGAAGTCAGCAAGTTGGCCAGTGGCAGGCTAGTGGAAGTTCTGTTTCACACAGGGAAATAAGGTTTCTCTACAGATTTTCTTTTCAAATTTCCTAGATAAAACATTAACCCCTTGGAAATCATTCTTGCTTCACAAAAAAAAAAAACCAACCACACCCTGTTTTTTTAAGGAACATGATATTGCAGCACTATATTTCAAGTAATTGTCATAACTTCACCAATGACAAGGTTGTCCTGTAATAAGAAGTCACATCCCATTTTATAGCATACACAGCAACAGTATTTATAACTGCTGATTTAAACTAAGTTAGAAGGCTATGAAAACAAGCATAAGGGAGATTTTTTTTTAAAAGTCATGTCATGAAAGTCAGTGTCTGTGACAAATACAGTCATCAAGAGCAGAACTATGTAGTTTTATCTGGCAGATGTTTTCGTCATTAATTCTTACATTAATGGAAATTCCTACATAAGCTGTTCTTGTTCTTAGCTACTCTTACTACTAGAAAAAAATTTCTAACATTTAACAGGAAGGGAGACTGAGTAACTTAAATTCTTTACTTCTAGTTCAATGTTTATTAACCTCCAAGTAAGGAATCTACCTTCAACTTCTCCAGACAATATAAACTTAGTTCTCCTGCATTTTCCTCACAGATCATGTTTTCTTAGTCACAAATATGATTAGAGGTCTTTCCTCTTGCACCTATGTGCTTCACATTTCCTCCTGTCCCGCTGATAATGCTGCACTAGAAAGGCTAGCCTTTGTGAATGCTGGTGGTTCCTACAAGTGGTTTTTTGACGATGCTTGTAAACTTAAGAGCCAAGAACAAGACAAGATTGAGACACAAAGTTATATTGTGGAAACCATTAACACAGAAGAACAGCAATGTGGCCCAATTCAACGTTAAGACCTAATGACTTTAAGACTGAGCCAGACTGCTGCTGTGCCTTTGGCTTAAAAGCTATTAAAGACCAGTTCAGCTTACACAGCCACAGAACTGTATTGCCTCTCAAAATGGGTACGAAATTTGGAAGTGATAAGTTTCAATTTTATGCCACAGGGATATACACATCTGTATTGAAATTACTCTTATTTGCCACAAATTCTGTTCTAATTTTTGTCTTTGTCTAAATTTTTAATATTAAAAAGTGCTATTTTCATACACTAATCACATTATAAAACATTTACCTTTGGACGTGATGATTTCCCAGGCTTCATCTCTGCCTGAAAGACAATTCCATTTATGAACTTTGAGTAAAGCTGCTTTTGAATTACACGTAATTACTGTTTGGCTTCAGTTACTTGAAAAAAAATATTAAGAAATGCTAACATCCAATACCCCTAGAAATTACATCTTCTTTACTGATGAAACCTTGCATATCATGTTCATGCTCCTATAAAGCTCAGCTCATTTGAAACATCTGATAAACCTGAAAACAACATCTTACAACGAAGATCAAGAATCACGTTGAAATGTCCTGGACTATACATACAGCACACAGTATAAAACATACATAGTGCATAATAAAAAATTTATGATAGATTTACATTGCCTCCTTAAAGCTAACTGTTAGTGTATGAGAAGCCTCAAAGTTAATGCTAAGAGCATTCAGGTGTTTAACAGTTGCTTTAACGAGAAGGAGCTTTAAAAAAAGTTAGTTTTAACACTCACTGCAATCTTTCAGATTTCACAGTTTCAAAACAAACAAAACTAGATATTTGGACGTATTTCTTAAGAACACAGAGAAATACCTGAAGACATCTGTTTCTTTCTACTGCACTTACACTCCACCTCCTCCAGACAAAGACAAGATTTACATAAGCTTTACGTTTACTCATATTTATTCAAAAGACTTCTGTAAGTAGAAATATTAAGTCCTCAACTGTAGAAAAAATAGTTTAAGTGGGGGAACTAATCTGGAAGAAAACCTACAAGTTTAGTGGAACAAGAAAAATAAACTTTCTTGGTACTAAAATCCTACAGAGACTCCCATTTAAAAAAAAAAAAAAATCAAAACCAAAAAAACCCAACCAAGCCAGCAAAATAGCTAGTCCTAAGCAAGAAAAAAGCAGAGTAAGAATGACTAAGTGTCAGACGTTTAAGGATTCTGGCTTTTAAGATCAGCAAGCCACCTGTCCTAATTATTTCAAACAGCAAACTTCCACGGTTCTGCATCCAGTGGTACATATTCATAACTGAAAGTGTTTTCCCCTTAACTCTTATTACACTTTCCCTTCTGACTGACAAATCTTGATGAACCTTACAAGCATGTCTTGAATTACGATGGTATAGTATAAAAAAACCAAAACACCACCAAACCAAGGACTACTACCATATTAGAGCCTTAGCTTTCTAGCAAGCATAGGCCCCTAAAACATGACTTTCCAAGCAGGTTAAATTATTTCCATTTTTACTCCAAATAAACATCCTGCTCAGCCTTTTCATTATATTCACTTGGCACATTAAGCCACGCTAAAGTTACCATCATCTACCCCATCTTCTACAAGCACCCCCATTTGCAGAAATCATCCCACACGGCAGCTGAGGCAAACGAAACACTAGAGCAAGATCTTGCTGCGGAGATGCAAAAGTTCTGCCAGGGTTCTGCAGGAAGGCACCCGAACGAACTTTTAAAGGCGCTGCCAAGGCAGCACTCCCTCGGCAGAGACGTCCCGACAGGCCGCCACAGGAGCCACCGAGCCCCACGGGACAGCCCCCCGCCTGCCACCCGCTCCCACCCAGGGAAGGGCCGCGTTCAGTCACGGCGGAACCCCAAACACCAAATCAAAATCAGATCTGCCGCCCGGTCGGCCGACCCCCCGCTTTCGCCCCCGCAGCCGCGACC